GGTGCGTTTGGGGATTACATGTGTGTTCGCGCCGTTACTTATATTGGGAGGCATTGTATTGATGCGAAGGTATTGGCGATCGAAAGCTCTTATCTATAGGACAGTCGGCGCACAGATAACGATGCAAGAGATGTGCGAAAAACTATTTATAGCGCAAAGTCTTATGATATTTGAGTTACAATTGGCCGCCTCTTCGCTCATTCTATGGCTTAGGAATGGTGTCGAAGATTGGACTCCAGTCGAAGTGGTTGTAGTGAGCATTGGAACTGTTGTCACCATTTTATGGCTCATTTTAGGATATTTAGCGGTATTTACCTCGTAATAGGATACGCTCTGTATTTAGTCTTAATGTTACTCATTGCTGTAATTTGTTATCGGTATTAACTTGCAATACTACCATATATGATATAATATGATATATGATATAAGATATATATATGATATATTATACAATACCGTATGATTAGTGCAAGTATTGCACTGTTTTTACTTTATATTTACTGTACATTTATAGTCTATATTTATATTTCAGATGCGCTACGAAAACAAACCAATAATTTATGTGTTTTTCGCGACCAGTATTCTTGAGCCAACGATTATTATCTGGAACTTAGTCCGAGTAATGAATTTATTTATTTCGTGCAAACATTTCATTATATTTATACAGATATCGTGTTAATGAATGCATTTCTATGAACAGTACATAAGGGATGAAAACGATGAGTTGCTACAGAACTCGGTGTTTGTGTCGGGAAGTATTGCACTCGTAATCCGTGTCATTACTATTGGTTTCATGATAATCGTTATGAATAACTTTAATAAAGGGCTTAAACAAAAAGGTATTACTTAATATATTTTATTTAATTAAAAATTTTATATAACTTTTAATTTATGTTTAAGTTTATGGAAAGAAAGATCAAAATACATCAATGGATATAAATCAAGAATTCGTCACATAATTTGTTTTACGGACCCATTTATTCTCGTTTAAAAACTATTTTATAAATATTTTATTTAAAATTTTAATAATGAAATTTCGTGATAATTCGAGTGATATTCAGTATATAATACGATATCTAAATTGATCTAAACTTGCTCCAACATTGCTAATGCCATAGAGGTGTTCTAATTGTCATTTATTTGTCTTACGGTATATGTAAATCATGTCAATTAAATTCATCTGTGAATTTTATTATAGTTTATATTTTACTATTCACTTTAATCTATTATTGATCTTTTTTGTGTAAAATACTGTATTCTATACGGTAATAAACTTTCTATGTGACCTCTAATACAGACAATTTAGTCTCTAATATAGTACATTATAATATTTGTTGTTATTATATATTATTCTAACCTAAACATTTATATTTTTATTAAATGTATTTATCATATTTATAAATTTTTAAGTAATTAAATGACAACATAATTAAAATATGGTTTAATGTATTAATTATCTTTCGTTATTGTCTTAATCCATTTGAGAAAATATGAGACTTGAGTGTAAACGCCAGGGTAATCATCTATAGAAATAATATATCAAAAAATTGTTCACTAATTTCAAATATTTACTAATGAATAAATAAAGTTTGATTACCGGCACAAGTAGATCCATACGAGACAACGCCAACCAAAGTAGCCTTTCCGTTCACTATCTCTACTAATGGTCCGCCAGAATCTCCCTAAACAATAGATATCTAATTATTGATGAGTATATCATTGATTCTTTAAGACAATAGCTGAGCATCAATGGAAAGGTATGCTAACCTGACAGGCATCCTGTTTGTAATTCCATCATGTCTCAACACTGAATATATCACTTATGAAAAAGACAAACATAAAAACTCGTGTTAGCGATAGAAACTAGTCTAAATTCTACTCCAGGACATTTTATTGGCCATTCAACAGCAATAGCTTCCGCTCTGCCCCCCAACCGGCCACTATCATTCGGGTGGCCCGGGGCTCGTCGTAACTGTTATCGGGAAGACACACCGGCTTAATCAGATGGGTGTACTTTATAGGTTTGGTAGTCTTCATCAGTGCTATGTCTGAGTTCAACATATTGTCGTTGTTGAACCTCTCGTGAGTTATCACTAACACGTAAATAAGTTTTGCAATTCAGACACATTTACATACAAATTATTATATACCCTACCCTTTCCTATCTTATAAGTTTGTCCACTATTTCTATTGATAGTGCCCACCCTTATGGCCCACGTGAATGACTCGGGAGTTTGATCTCTATTAGACATATATATAGAGTATTAAATATATTTGAATTGTTTAGATAATTACCCCATAAAGCAATGCGATGCGGTCACTATCTATGTATTAAATGACAACAAGTACAAATTAATTTATTAAATTTAGTTTAGAATCACATAAGAAAGAGAGAAAACGTAAGAAACTATGGACCCATTGACTGTTGATGATAGTGCCCCCACACCAGGCCTCCCCATTCTTCAGGATGGCTACAATCCAAGGGTGGGAGCCCTCAGTGGCGTCCGTACCGCCGACTATCCGTTGCGCCAATTCAGTACTCTCTCCGCAATCGGATTCAGACAAAGTCTTTCCCAAACTATCCTTTTCCTTACGGGTCCTCATTTGGATGCCCACCGGCTGGCTGTCAACCCGCTCTTCAGTCATGGCATCCTTTTTCTGTCCACTCCCGTGAGAGTGCTTCATATCATTCAAATCAGATATTTTTAGCATTTTTCTAGGTTTCGGTGAGTCATCATCAATATCCGCAAAATTTTTAATATTTTGCTCATCCGGGTAATATTCTGGTTGCGATCGAAAATAGGATTCATATTCAGGTTGTGAATGATAATGGGATCGATATTCAGGTTGTGATTGATAATGGGATCGATATTCAGGCACTGGTGTATCAAAATGATCGTCTAACAAGATTACTGTAAGTATATAATCATGAGTATAATACACATCATCTCATCAAACCTGCGGGTCTGTCATAAAATGGATAATATCTGTGCCGCCGATCGTAGTCATAAGTTTGACTCTTTTGGATAACTGTAGAATAAATAACTCAAAATCAATTAATATACGATACTATTAATAATATAAATGTTTTAAATGTTAAAACTATGAAATATGAGGCACTGACACAAGTTAAGGTATATTAACAAAATCCATGGGAAAGACCTGAGAATTGAATTAAATTCCATTTGTAAACAGTAATCAAAGCTAATACTAATTAAATGGATGTAAGACTTAGTTAATTAATAAGACTTTCAAACTAATCAATGATGACGTGATTGAACTTAATTAAAGTGATTAATATTAGAAAGTTTTTATAAGTTAGTTCAATTAAGAAATTTAAAAATTTAAATTTTTAGTAATAATTTTTAAATGACTATTATTTTAAATATTGTGGTCTAAAATTATGATAAAATTAAAGTATTTGTTTATAAAAAAAAGTTATTGAATAATACAGTAATTTACCATGATTTTATTATGAATTAAGTTTGAATTATATTTTTATTATAAGATAAATATAATTTTTTGTTAAATCAAAATTAAATCATAGACTTCTAATAACTACAGGAATAACTACTAATCCTACTACTGTACTACTAATCAGCGACAATTTACATTTTGGGGTAATAATTACTTTTGTGTTGTTAACTGTTCAAATCTAATATTGTGTAGGTAATAAATTGTTGTGTAATTTATTATAACAATTTTTGCTAAATTGCAAAATTAATTTTATAAACTCAATCGTCTCCTACTCGTTATCTTTGTAAACCATAACATAATTTAAAATTAAATCTAATTTTTAGAGTTTAAGGTAATGATGAAGTGGTTAGACACTTGACAGCATGTCTACACATGTAATGTCTGTAACTTGAACAGCAATTACTTCATTAAAACGAGTGTTTGCTCTACAAAATGCTATCAGAATATACGGTACTATAAGAATGCACTCAATCACTGCTCAAATGTTATACTTTCCATACTTAACCTAAATCTTATGATTTATTTTCTAGTTTTTCTATTAATGAATTAAATGACTTTTACTTTTATAATTCACTATTTAATAAATATTGATATAAAATACACTGTAATTGAATTGTCTTAAGGGTAGAGACGTCTCAGTTCTACTTAATATACAAAAACTTATTCATTAAAAACAATGCATGTGTCAATCATTTTAATGATTTATTTACTGATGCATTTTATTTAATTATACAAAAGTTTATTTTTTATACTACAGAATTTTCATACAAGTATCATAATTATAATATTTCAAACTCCTATATAATACTATATACCTCTATAAATTTCTATACTAACTCCAGCTGAATCTTTTTAAATTGCACATTACCTCGTAAATATATTTAAGAATTGAAAATATTAGACAAAATCTTTTAAAATGTACAAAATTATTTTACTCATTTTATAGAGAACTTCAAAAATATATGATTGGTCAAAATTTATTTTAAAATATTTGTCGTAGTACAATTTTTATATGTTTTAGTAATAATCCTATTTTATATAAGAATATGTATTCAATATGCGTTGAATGGATACCAATTAATCCGATATCAAAATTTAAAACACTGTTATCATGCCTAATAATGAATGAAATGTCAATTGACATGATTTCCTTTTAAATGAAAAAGGCTTTATTTGAAAAGCCATTATATTTATATTAACGTTAATGTTTGAAAATTTATATTGACATAAAAACATTACTATTAAAGACATCTTCAATGATTTGCAAATCATATAATTATGCAAACAATTATTATATAAGTGATTTTGCATATTAAATTACTTCCGATCATAAATAAAAATACTTAAAATTTTATATTTTGTTTTAATACTTGTTTTTGAATAAATTTATTTTTAGATTTATTTATTGCTTTCTAGTGTTTGCACTAAATTCTTGTGCATAAGAAAGCATTTGTAAACAAATTGTCTTTTATATTATAGTATGTATTTTATTGAATTAGCAATAATATTGAACTATAATTTGTTTTCACTAATAATTATCTGTATTTTTGTGTATTTATGACCTTTGATGGCATATGTATTGAAATTTGCTGACCTTTAGCTTAATATTTATGTATTGTTTTCAGTTTCAATAAAATATTGATAACTTTACTGACTTTACTGATACACATAACTCACGATTTGTTCTCAATAATTGCAAATAAATGCAGAAATATATCGGTTTTGAACACATGTCACCAAATATAGAGTATGAGATCAAATTGTCCCGCATTAAATCCATTTAATACAATAACATTCAAAGCAAATGCTGGCTATAAATATGTGGTTAAAAGAAAGATATTTTTTCGACATTTACTTTTTTGCTCATTTCATACAAACAACTTATATTCTGAGTTTGATTATGAAATATTTACAAAACTTTGTATTTGTTGTATTAATCGGACACTCAATAGAAATGCCAAACAATAGGTTCTCATTAGAAAATAAAATGCAAGATTCAGTTAGTAATAGTAATAATGATGTAAATGTATTAAATTCTGCTTCAAAAAGCAGACCATTAACTGATAAAGACTTTGAAAACGGCAGAAAATTAACGTACGAACAGTTGCACGGAATCAATGAATTCAATAGAAATACAGACCAACAGAATATTCTCATGAATAATAAGAATCTATTCGAAGGCGATATTGTACTCAAGAATCGCTCACAACTCGTAAGTATATTATTTGGAAAATGTTTTAAAACTTTATTTCAAATGCTATTTCAAATGTTTGATAGACAACGCGTAATGCAATTCGAGGTAATTTCTTGAAGTGGAGATCCGGCAAAATCCCATACGTTTTGTCCAATGAGTACAGCGATGAGAACCGTTCAGTGATAGCGCGTGTCTTCGAGGAGTTCCACAACAAGACGTGCATCCGATTTGTACCGAAACGATGGTTTCATTTCAATTACCTATACCTCACGCCGGGGTTGGGCTGCGCCGCACTGGTGGGCAGAGTTGGCGGCAAACAAGCGGTCACTTTGGGTGAGGGCTGTCTCACTCTGGGTATCATTGAACACGAGTTACTCCATTCGGTGGGCTTTTGGCACGAGCAGAGTCGGGCCGATAGGGATGACTACGTCCGCATCAATTGGGATAACGTGGAGAAGGGAATGGAAGGCAATTTCGTTAAGTTCTCCTGGAATGACATCCAATCGCTTGGTATGAGACAAATGATTAATTTTTTGCGGAAATTCAAGTTAGCTTTAAGTTTAACCCGAAAACAGTTCGACTAATGCCATAGAGTCTATGGCATAGAGTTTTAGGATATTGTAATTAAATGTAAAGATTTATGCTTTTGAGTATAAGTTTAGGTTATAAATCAATATTTTATTTGGAGTTTACATCAAAGAAATTATTTTAAAAGTTTGTGAATCTATTGCAGGCGTTGAATACGATTACGGCTCGGTTATGCATTACGGCAGTCATGGTATGAATAATTAATTTTACATAATCATTCGCCTTCGATAACGACAACTTACCGGTTATTTTACAGGACCTCATCTTAAATCTGATCAAAGATAGCGATTGTGCTCAAAAATACAAACAGAAAAAGTATTCACTATATAAGTCACAACTCTGTACCTGGAATTACAAACAGGACGCCTGTCAGGTAAGCATACCTTTCCATTGATGCTCAGCTATTGTCTTAAAGAATCAATGATATATGAATCAATAATTAGATATCTATTGTTTAGGGAGATTCTGGCGGACCATTAGTAGAGATAGTGAACGGAAAGGCTACTTTGGTTGGCGTTGTCTCGTATGGATCTACTTGTGCTGGTAATCAAACTTTATTTATTTATTCATTCATTAGTAAATAATATTTGAAACTAGTGAACAATTTGTTGATTTATTATTCCTATAGATGATTACCCTGGCGTTTACACTCAAGTCTCATATTTTCTCAAATGGATTAAGACAATAACGAAAGACAATTAATACATTAAACCATATTTTAATTATGTTATTTAATTACTTCAAAATATATAATATGGTAAAAACATTTAATAAAAATATAAATGTTTAGGTTAGAATAATATATAATAACAACAAATATTATAATGTACTTTATTAGAGACTAAATTGTCTGTATTAGAGGTCACATAGAAAGTTTATTACCGTATAGAATACAGTATTTTACACAAAAAAGATCAATAATAGATTCAAGTTAATAGTAAAATATAAACTATAATAAGATTCACAGATGAATTTAATTTACATGATTTACATATACCGTAAGACAAATAAATGACAATTAGAGCACTTCTATGGCATTAGCAATGTTGGAGCAAGTTTAGATCAATTTAGATATCGTATTATATACTGAATATCACTCGAATTATCACAAAATTTCATTATTAAAATTTTAAATAAAATATTTATAAAATAGTTTTTAAATGAGAATAAATGGGTCCGTAAAACAAATTATGTGATGACTTCTTGATTGGTATCCATTGATATATTTTGATCTTTCTTTCCATAAACTAAAACATAAATTAAAAGTTATATAAAATTTTTAATTAAATAAAATATATTAGGTAATACCTTTTTGTTTGAGCCCTTTATTAAAGTTATTCATAACGATTATCATGAAACCAATAGTAATGACACGGATTACGAGTGCAATACCTCCCGACACAAACACCGAGTTCTGTAGCAACTCGTCGTTGGCATCCCTTATGTACTGTTCATAAAAATGCATTCATTAACACGATGTCTGTATAAATATAATGAAATGTTTGCACGAAATAAATAAATTCATTACTCGAACAGAATTCCACACAATTATAATTGGCTCGAATAGACTCAACACGAAAAACACATAAATTATTGGTTTGTTTTCGTAGCGCATCTGAAATATAAATATAAATATAGACTACAAATGTACAGTAAATATAAAGTAAAAACAGTGCAATACTTGCACTAATCATACGGTATTGTATCATATATGGTAGTATTGCAAGTTAATACCGATAACAAATTACAGCAATGAGTAATATTAAGTCTAAATACAGAGCGTATCCTATTACGAGGTAAATACCGCTAAATATCCTAAAATGAGCCATAAAATGGTGACAACAGTTCCAATGCTCACTACAACCACTTCTTCTGGAGTCCAATCTTCGACACCATTCCTGAGCCATAGAATGAGCGAAGAGGCGGCCAATTGTAACTCAAATATCATAAGACTTTGCGCTATAAATAGTTTTTCGCACATCTTTTGCATCGTTATCTGTGCGCCGACTGTCCTATAGATAAGAGCTTTCGATCGCCAATACCTTCGCATCAATACAATGCCTCCCAATATAAGTAACGGCGCGAACACACATGTAATCCCCAAACGCACC